TCAGATGATTATATTGTGATTTAGAGGACATTGCCTATGAATGTGTCAGGCCACATCTACAGCCATCTGGTAATGGTGGCCCACCAGGAATGGATCGATTATGACTGCTGTAGATGGACTCTTTGAAATCTCTTTTGTTGTCATAACACAGATTCCTACATGGTATAAGGGAGTTGAATTAAGTTAGAATGAGTCTTTGAATACTTCAAGCTGCACTGGCTGTGATATTGCATACCTGTAATCCCAGGAACCCAGCACTTTGAAGGGCTGAGGCAGGAGAATCAAGAATTTGAAGCCAGCCTGGGCTAAGAAGTGAAACTTTGTCTCAAAAAGATAATTTAAGGCACGTTTTAATAGTCACAGAATATTATTCACAATGTGATGTTTATTCTTTTAAGTCTGAGTTTTAGGAAGATGGAAATAAACAATGCTAGTATTTTAAGAACCTAGATCGAGGCACTAGGGAGGCAGCTCAGTTGGTAACGTGCCTACCACACAAGAGTAAGGACCTGAGTTTCGATCCCCAGCACTCACATAGAAAGCTGGGGGCGGGGCCTGTCGAATAGAATCCTTGGACCCCATTGGCCAGAAATTCTTCATAAATGGGTGAGTAATAAGTGTGATGAGAAACTCTGTCTTAAAAAACAAGGTGGAGGGCCAGCAAGATGGCTCAGCTGGCAGAGGTGCTTGCCACCAAGTCTAAAGACCTGAGTTCAATCCCAGGATGCCCTTGATGGAAGGAGCAAACCAACTCCTGAAAGTTGTCATCTGATCTCCAGACACTCACTGTGATGGGTGTGCTACCTCCACCACCTATGCACACAAAATATTTAAATGAAGAATAAACGGTGTGGATTCATAGAAGACAGCATCTGATGTTGACCTCTGACCTCCATAGATATGCATGCGCGCACACACACACACACACACACACACACAATCTTGAACTCACTTTCAGGTTTGTTTTTTGTTTGTTTTTTTTTTTTCTTTCTCTTTTTTTTTCTTCAAGTCTTTTTCTACTTTAAGGTTTTGTGGATTGACATACTTCTGCATTCTGTAGCTTAGCTGGCACAATGGTATTTATAGTTTTATTTCCATAAGGAAGCAAGAGGTGTTTTAGGCTGTTTCCCAATTTCGAGATCAGTTTTCACCCAGCAAAGGACTCCATCATCCTTCTGGGAGAGAGATGGTCAGAATTAGCCACTTAATCCAATTAGTCTTTGGATGGAAACAACATTTTGGACAGGGTATTGACTTACATGTGAACCAAGGCTCACAGCAGGTTTCTGGGAAGTGACTTCCTGGTCAAGTTTGTAATAACTAAGTGACTTTGGGAAACACATGAGACCTTCCTGAGAAGAAGTTGGCATCTCCACCCACTGTAAAGCCACAGATTCTTTTTTGCTATTCCCGTAATTAAAAAAAAAAATGTTCCTTTTATGTTTATAGAAGGTGACCTGGAGTCAGCAGTTTGTTCTTTGGGCTTTGGTTGTGTGGCCCGTAGAAACTAGAGCAGCAAAAGTTACAGAAACAAAAAACAAAACCAAGCCTAGAATCATTTTTCTGGACGTCACTTCAGATGTATTCTCTTTCCTCCTGAGTTGGAGATGGCCATTTTCTTCCCTGGGGGTTTTATAGTGCCTTTTGTTCCCATCATCTTCCTGACTCCAGTCCCCTCTTGGGTACACTTGGGACACCTTTTTGCATAGCTTGCTGCGTGAGTGTCCTTTGAATGCATGGTGTGCTGGTGTCAGTGCCATTGCTGTGGTACTTCTGTGAATCATGCTTAAGGACCCCTTCAGCCTCCTCCACCCTCCTCACCCAGCTTGCCTGCTCCCAGCTCTGCTGATATATACCTCTAGAGCCTGCTCCACCATCCCTGAAGAGACTGGCTTGAGTTATCAGCTTAACTGATAAGCTCTTAGGGGAAGCTTCTGACTCGCCAGAAGTGGAATAAGTAGCTACTTGCAAGTCCTGCTTGGTTTCTTACCTGGTTGTCAACTATCAGTAGCAAGTGACAGCCAGTCCCAGGAGCCTCATGGTCTTGGTCTGTGTTTTTAAGTATGTTTGGGGCTTATCTCTCAATGCAGATTGCAGGAGATCTGCCTCCTTCCTGGTGGCACAGGCTTAGACACAAAGCCTCTCACCTGTGTTGAAAGATGTTCTTCCATGTGCCATTTTGAGCTCCCCACCCTCCTCCTATTCAAGGTATCATTTCTGCTAGCTGATTTGTTTTCTGCTAGCTCTCAGGATCAGTAAACATTTCCTGGGTCAGGATTTCATCTTTTTCCTCAAGTCCTTGTCACCACCCCAGCAGCAAATACTACAAATAATTTTACAGAGATGGGAAATGAAATAGGACTGAGAGTGGTTGCATAGTTTGCTCCACACGACACAGCTGGAAATTAGCTGAGCCAGTACCTGACTCCAGGTGGATAACTAGATAAGGGCATTATTAAAGTCATCCATCCAAGCATAGCTGTGCTGCTTGCTGTGTGCAGAGCAGTAAGTACAACTTTCATTTTTGAAACTGAGCTAGTATATGCAGAAGGTAAGAGGATATTTTCTTGATGTGAGGATAAGAAAGAATTCGAGTATAGCAAGGAGTAGGGCTGATTCTAGCTGGGGTTGTGTAAAGATGGGGAGAATGGTCACTTGAGCAAGTGATGGCTGAAGGCTGAGTGTGAGAGGGAGCCTGGACTTGAACAGTTTAGAAGAGAGACCATGGTGAAGTAGGAAAGGGCATCTGCTGGGCAGCTAAGTAGAAGCAATTGAAGAGGTTGGTAGTTTTTACTTATTCATTTTTGGAAAAGATTTGTTGTGAATATATAATATATATGAATATATGATATAACAACAATGAAAAAGAGGTGAAGAATTTGAAAGAGAACAAGGGAAGATACAGGGGAGAGTTTGGAGGGATGAAAGGGAGGGGGAAATGATATTGTATTGTAATCTCAACAGTCTTTCTGCTGTGTGTACGCATGGGTACCATGTGTGTGCATCACCTACAGAGTTTACAAATGGTTGGGAGCCACCATGTGGCACTGGGAACAGAATTGAGGTTCTCTGCAAGGGCAGCAGGTTCTCTGAACCACTGGGATACTCTCCCTTTTTAATTTTATTTTTTTAATAGTCCTGTAGAGCTGGGCTTTGTTTTTATATTCTGTAACCACAGCACTTGGGAGGCTGAGGCAGGAAGACTACATATTTGAGGTCAGCATAGAGACCCTATTCTAAAACATCAAATAACTCCAAAAAATATAAAATACATAAAACAAAAAACAAAATTAACAACAACATAGAGTTAACTAACCAAGCTAATGCTGATGACAACTTAATTAGCAGAGATGAGCAAGGACCAGGTCTTAGCATGTGAGGGCAAGAGGCTCACCTATCTCCTGGGTCAGATTAGTATGCTGACCCAGAACAGGCAGTGGAGGCTCACTTTTTGTTTTGTTGGAAAATAGAAATATTTTCCAAGAAAAACGGCAGTGTAGACACTGGGCCAAGAGACCAGTGAGCACTACAAACGAATCAGCGGCAACATACAAGTGACGTTTGACCTCAGCATCAGGACCACAGTGGGGCTCTAGAGAAGCCGAGGGTTCACTGACTCAGTCCACAGTAGGCAACTTTTCTCTGTGCCAGCCAAGCACTGCCATGGATTCTTTCTTCTGAATCCACCAACTTTTCCAGATAATCAGAGATTCAAATTGCTGTGCCAGATTCTTTGATCTTTAAATATTGGCCCAGCTCCTAAGATCCCTGACAATGGATAGGCAGAATACATGGTTAGATTGCCAGCCTTACACATCTGTTGCAAGCTGGTGGATGCTGAGATGAAGGAGACTTGGTGATGGATGATGTGTGTTAACCATTTAGTGTCATGTCTAGTACACAGGCCCAAGGAGGACATATTTCTGTTAATTGTGCTCCTAATGCATTCAGGTGTTTTCACTATTGATTTATTTAATTAACTCTAAGTCTGTATTACAAAAATAAGGCCTGGAACACCTGGGAAGCAGAGAGACAGAATCAAACAGATCTGAGGCTAGCCTGGTCTACACAGAGAGTTCCTTTCTCAAAAAAAAAAAAAAAAAAAAAAAAAAAAAAAAAAGCCTATCTTGAGTAATGACTGACTGACATTTTGTTCTTGAATTGGGTGTGTTTTCTCTTCTTGTTACAAAGTGAGCAATCCTGTGCCTGTGGAATTGAGGAGAAGGAAGGAGGAACATTTTGTCTTGGAAACTCTTGATTCCTTTTGGATTTGCTGTCCATTTCATCTGTGCTGTTGTCTTCTCCATTTCCCTGCTGGTCTAGTCATTGCCTGCCCTTCTTCCAAACCATGCTGTCTGTCTGCTCTCACTATGTGCTAACCTCCTTGTTCCATTCGTCCTGCTGGTATTGTCTGCATGTATGGGTGGGAAGAACTGTAGTGTAAACACTGTCTTGGCCCACGTGAAGGATCCTGGGAAATACAGTTTTATAAAGGGATCCTGTGTTTAGAAGCATTTCATCACTTTTAATGAAATACAAATGTGCCCAGAGTGAGACGTTTCATTTTGTGGGGGATGGGGGGAAATCTTCATTTAATATGACTTACACCATAATTTTCTATTGCAAGAATCATGTCTGGTGTATGATGACGGTCTTGGGTGAATTTTCTTCAGTTCAAGTATCTCTGATAATCCTGGCAACAGTCTGAGTTAATTACTTGTCCTTGTACTTTTAGGTCTTGTTTCTGTTAAAATTCTGGAATCAGAGAGAGAGCAACACAGACTTGGATACTTTCAATAGATTAGGGGCTTAGAAAAACACATCTCCTTTTCTCTCTCAAGCTTAAAAAAAGTTTGCATTGTTTTAAGCTGAGATCATTTTGTTGTATCAACACAAAGCTAGAAACATGAAAATAAGATTTTTTTAACGTGTGAAAAATCTTATCTGTAAATACAAGTTCTTAATTGAGTCAATATTTTTTCTCTTAATTGCTGACTCAGATCATGGAAGAGACAAACACACAGATTGCATGGCCGTCCAAACTGAAGATCGGAGCCAAATCCAAGAAAGGTAATTTGGAAGGGGGAATAAGTCTGTTTGAGATTATGGAATTGCTGCATGTTATTGCTGGAGAAATAAGCCTTTGTTCTGTTCACATTTGTCCTCAAATACTTGTCAGTAGCCAAATCTGGGGGGAGGTATTATGATCAAAATAAACAGCTTTGCAACAGCAGAAAAAAATTTAAACAACAGTATTAGAATAAAAATGTTTCCATAAAAGATCTTACCAGTAACCTGTGTTTTCAAGAATGTCTGTCAGATCAGTAGCCATAAGGAAGGGCAGTTTGAGATTGTGTCCGACTGTCTAGACTGTAAAGCCCAGTTTAAGAGCTGTTGTATACTGTGCCTTCCTTCCATGTGAATTAACCCTTCCTTTCTCGAAGGAGTCTTCTCCATCAACCTGACAGTATTAGACTCACTGTATTTTAGACTGGACATTTCTCTGCATTATGCCACAGAGCGCTTGCTGCCTAGAGATAGGAGGAGACCACCGCTTAACTTTTTTTATTCTAAAATTCTATGGCATTCTCAAACTTGACTTTCCAGTATGCATTTTTAAGAATATTTTTCTTTTGCAAATATACTGTTGTTTAAATAATTCTGCTGTGTATATTTAATGAAGAATACAAATGTCTGAAGCCATCAGGAGACAATACAAATGCCACCGAACAATCCAACATATTGTATTCCTGCAAAGCTGAACCCTGTCTTGTGTTCTGGCCTTTCTCTTGTTGCTGCTGTTGAGTTTGTCTTTTGTTCTGTCTCCTGGGACTTCATTGTTAATCAATATTTTAACACTGCACAGGGTCTTAGTTTTCTTTCATGTTTTAGTTTAGATTTCCTTCTTTCAATCTCATTTTGTATTCTCACCTTATGGAATAGGAATAATATCGCAGAGCTGTGTGTGTGTGTGTGTGTGTGTGTGTGTTTGTTTGTTTGTTTGTGCATGCATGCGTGTTTAACCAAACATGGCATGCCTATAGAAACTTTTTATTTATCTCATGGTGACAAGGAATTGGGACTGTTAGCATTAAGCAGTCATAATCATACAGGCTGAGTCTCCATGTGTAATTCCAAGTCTGTGTAAGTCTTGTATGCATTAAATGCTCCTAATTAATTGAGTTCTCTTGTCATGTGTTGGGATGTTTTGTTCTCACTACATAATAGAAGAAACCACCACCAGTGGATCATCTATCTGCCTATTTGGCTGTCTAAAAAAATCCCAGTTTTCCAGTTGGATAAATTGAAACTTGAGTATACCCTGAGGCCTCATTCCCTGTTGTCAGAGATTTTTACTTAAGAAATGAAATTAAATTCATTTATGGCTTAATAAAAATGTAATTTAAACCAGTCTCCCAAGGAAACATGAATGTTAGGACAGTTTGGGGTGATTTCAGGTGGCTTGTTCATGTATCCATGGTGAGATTTCATAAGAAATGATTTTTAAAAAATGTTCAAAATGTGATTTGGACTTTAGAGGGTCAGGGACCATGGGGATGAGCAGGATCATGCCATGCTTTCAGGCTGGCTTCTGTCACTGACGTACTCAGCCCTGTGGGGTGCTCAGTTACACTCCACATCCTGATGGTGTATTTTATACTTTGGCGATAAAACTGTTTCAGCAGAGAGTTTGAGAGAGCATTTGGGTGCATTCTTACCTGGTTGAAGTTAACCTCTGGAATTGTGCCTAAGAATTGGCCCTTGCTGGCTCAGGTCTAACACACTTCATTTTACCTTTTAATTATTTATGACGTGCTCTGGTGGCACACAGTGCTACACAATGAGAAGAATGAGAAGAAAGGAAGAGAGGAAGAGTAGAAAGTGTGCCTCAGAGGAATTCACTGTCCAGCTGACAAAGCTGATGCATAAATTCTTGGCCTAACATCCTAACCACAGCCCCTGCTTCTTGATATGTAATAGGATAGATGTACATAATCCTATGCTTTTAAAATTGTTTAATTCAGTGATGAAGTTTCATTTTATTCTGTAGCTGGTAAAATGAAAATTAAACAGCAGGAGGGGGTCTGAAAGGTAATTATTTGCTCATCTGGTGGGATGTTGCCTTCTGTGTCTGTCTGTTGTGAGAGGGCTTTTTGTTTTCTAGCTTTTGTCATTCCCAGCTCTCATTTTAAAGAGACTAAAGTATGCCCGTGTAGTCCTGGGCCCATGCCATGTACTAGATGATCATTAAATCCAAACCCCAGGGTGATGCGAAGGTCTGGGGTCTGTGGATAACCCAGTCTGTGCTGAGGGACAACCCATCTTATTTTATTTTAGCTTTTACACTTCTCTGCTTGAATAGTTGAGTCTACACAAACATATTTATTTAATTATTTAATGAACCCCATTCTCCCTGTCTGCCTCTTTCTTCATCTTCCCGGAATTTAGTTTTGCATTTTCCAAATTAGCTTCCAGTAGCTCGCTTCAAATCTTATCTTTCAAAGCCCTTCCTGCTTTATCAGAATGGCTGCCTGGGTGCATGTGTAGCCTTTCTGGCAGAAGTGCTGGTGGTTACTGCCTGGCACATGGGCAGAAAGCCAAAGCCTGACTCTGCTTCAGTTAGAAATGATAGAGCCTTCTCTGGAGCTCGGTAGGGAGGTGTGGGCTGGGAATCTGCATTTGACAAGTTTCTCTAGTGTTGTTAGGGCCAGAATTTGGGAGGAAAGTGTGAAGGCAGAGGCAGGGGTAGGGACGGCCACAGCTGAAAAGTGGGGAAGAGTCGGTCCTGGTGTGCTAAGAGCCACACGGCTCTGCAGATGACCTATCTTACACTTTGGTCATCTTGTGGACAGTTAACACAAGGCATCTGGAATGAAGATAACCCAGTGGTGTGTGTATGTTGAGTATGGCTCTGATTAGAAGAGCGTTGTCTGTTTCATCTTCCCCTTTGCCCTCTCATGTCTTCTCATTCTCCCTCCCCTCTCTTCCTTTCCAGTCCCCCTTTCTTTTCCCTCTGCCCAAATGCTTGGTAGAATGGGGTAGGGAAAAGATCAGCAGTTGTTTTCTGCAGGGGATCTTAGAGAAGTACACAGACCAGGCTGACACACATACTCCCCCACATGTTTGGATTATTGGAAGGCTGAAGGTTCATTTAAGCCAGGAAGAATTGAGAACTTAAGATTGGAGCAACAGTCATTTCAATCAGGGACTCTAAGGTTCTCTTTGGGGAGTCACGACTAAGAAAAATAAATACTTCATGTTTCTCCTCTCTACTGTGAATTTATTTTGTGTGGGAGATTATAAAACCAAAGCTCTTGAAGCCAAAGAAAGACATAGAAAAAGTTTGAGGTCTGTGCTAGTGAAACCAGTATTTAAGGACTAAAGGGCTTAAAACTATAAAGTTTTACTAACCTGGAATAATTTCAGGCTGTCTTCTCCATTTCTGAGCTGCAGCCTATTTTAAATGAAAGGAAACTTCATTAAAATATGAATAGCATTTTGAGCAAGTTTGCTTTTCCAAATGGAATTCCGGTTAAAGCTGCCCTAACACAGAGATAAAAGTGGTTTGTAATGAGAACTTATCACATTTGGATGACTGCACTGTGAACACAAATTGGATGGGTCTGCTTCTTAGATTAGGTAAATATTTTTCTTATAGTCTTCTCTTTGCTTTTAATGGGTTCATTAATCTGTACATAGATTGGTGAAGGTAAGTGGGGGGTCAGAATTAAAGTTTTTATGTCCAATTCCAAATGTCTGGGATCAGCATTGATGAAGCTGTGTTCCAGAGGTGGATAAAGTGAGACACTGGTCTCCATCAGGGCCGTTTCAGTGACAGATGGCAGTGGGTAGATGCCCCACTGGACCAGTAGAGGTGCCAAGCATTCTCTGAATTGCTGGGTGTGTGTTCTGGTTTGGAAGTGAATGGTACCACATCTGGCTTTTCTCTTCCTCCCAAAAGAAACAAAAGAAATCACTACCATTTCCATGAGATCTTATTATGTTTGGTTATATTCCCTTAGTGCAAATGGGTATCTAATGGATCATCTTAACATGAGAAAAAGCCACATAATCGTTTTTTGTTTCTAGGGGAAAGTATCTTGTATACATGTCTGACTAGCTAGTACTGCGTTGTTTGGAGAAAAGAGAAAGAAATGGCCCAGCTTGATGGACCAAAGTATTCCTACTGGGGAGTGTGTAACCTGTTAGTGTGTGAAGAAGTTAACTTAGTGGGTGTCAGTGAGCGGTAACGTGCCTGAATGAATTAGAAAACAGAATGTGAGGACAGAGTTTGATGAAACTTTCAGCCACATCTGTTGCTGAGTGTGTGCACATAGTGCTATTAGACTGTGACATTATGTGTGTGACAAGGGAAAACTGTAGAGCACTGAGCTAGGTAGTTCATTTTCTAGATATTAAGAGCACACAGGTTATATTCATCAGTACAGTCCTTGCTTTGTCTCTAGTATGTAGCCAGCCCTTAGCACATATTTGATCATGATAACACCAGGACTGCAGATGCCCTTGAATCTTTGTAGTTTAGAATGATGGCTTTCCTGTATGAGTGGTAGCTGCTGTTCTGAATACAGGTGCATAATCTGTGTGTGCATGTGTACGTGCGTGCATGTGCATGCTATATTGATGTGTTCTTGGGTGTGCATGTAGGTGCACATGCATGTATATGTGTAGTATGCATGGGGAGACTGTGTTTGACATCTGGTGTCTTTGGTGGCTCTCCACTTTAGTTTTTTGTGATAAGGTCTCTCACTGTACTGGGAGCTTATCAGTCTAACTAGGATGCTGGTCAATGAGCCTCCGCTCTCTCTCTCTCTCTCTCTCCCCGCTCTCTCTCCCCGCTCTCTCTCTCTCTCTCTCTCTCTCTCTCTCTCTCTCTCTCTGTTACTGGAGTTAGGGTGTATGAGTACTACACATAGCTTTCACAAGGCCGCTGGGACCCGAACTCGGGTCCTTATGCTTGTGATACAGGTGCTTTACCTACTGAGGCATCTCCTGAGCTTACAGGTTGGGACTTTTCTAGAACCTCAAATCCTAATCTCTCTAACTGAATG